AGTATAGAGATTATAAGTTTTTTCATGTTTGATTTGGTACAATATGTATCCACTACCTTATTTTGTTAATAGATATAAAAGAAAGGCAAATATTGCATTTTGAGTGTTATTTTTTTTATTTTTATGGTAACTATACATATTTACTTGTTAATCTTAATTTAGTTCAAGTGAGTAATCAAATTTCTCATATCAAAGTATTAAATAAATAAATATATATATATATATATATATATATATATATATATATATATATATATATATATATATATATATCAATTATAATTCTAATATTTTTACATGTAACTCATTTTTTTGATACTACACAATTATAAATACATTTTTTAAAATATGTATAAATTATATTTTTATACACTTGATTTTAATTTTTTATTAAAAATTATCAATCATATAAGTTTTAGAATACATTGATATCTAACAATACAACTTAAATATTTATTAACTTATATATATATATATATATATATATATATATATATATGATTGATTAATATTATGAGTAGAGACCTTGTTGAAGATCTAAATAGTAATGTACATTTACAATTGGAAATTTTTTTAACCTACATAGAAGATTCACACTTCATACAAAACCAAGATTGTGTCTTGTGTCTTATTTTCCTAGGCTAATAGGTTTATTATTTAAGATTTAGTCTTATTATTTCAATTAAGTAAGTGGTTTATAAATAATTTTGTTTATATGATTGTCATAATCATAAAACCTAAATCTTTTAATATAAATAAAACTACTCAACATAATTTTGTTGTTGGAATATCTTTATAATTCAGAAGAAATATTTATATATAAAATAAAATAATTTATATAAATTACTAATTCTTAATAATAATTATTAAGTAAAATATAAATAGAGGTAAAAATGATTCTAATCATAATAATTAGTTATGAATTTTACTATTTCCAGTTTCTAAAAATCTCAATTCAAAATATATCATTATTTTTATTTGTATTATTACTATGTAATAGAATGCAAAGTTAAAAACCCACAATATTATATATATATATATATATATATATATATATATATATGTATATGTCAAAAAAATATAAGAATACTCTTTAAAAATTTTTAATAAGATATTTTATTAATTTATAGTAGATTTCATAGAAATAGTTTTGAATTCTTATGTTGTTATGTAATTCTTAGAACTTCATCTAAAAGCTATTATAGAACTTAGTGGCTATGGAATTAGTAATACATTAAGACAAGAAATACCTTACTATTGTCTATATAAGTTTCAGGTAATTATATCATTGTTTTTCTTACTAAAAATTAAATTATTGTGTGTGTTTGTATGTATATGTATCTATTGGTTTATATTATATATATAATTTATATTTTTAATGGATGCACCAAAATCTAGAGTAATAAAAATATGTATATACATGTATCTATTTTAAAATAAATTTTAAACATTAAAAAAAATCTAATAGATATATAGACTATAATGGATACATGTCTTTTACATCTTTGTTTTTCCAAATAACGTTTAAAGCTTAAAATATGTGTTTATTATGTATTATTCTAATAAAATATTAATACTGGTATCCAAAAGGAAATTTAATCTTTATCTCCTACTTATCTCATAAGACAATTCGACAATTTAAAAATAAATTTGGAAAAATAGAAATATATAAATATTATATAAAATCATACTATTAGTATATTATTTATTAAGGCATATGCTTATGGAACCAAAACAAGTTGGCCAATATTAAGAATAAATTAATATATATATATATATATATATATATATATATATATACATATATATTAAATTATTTTATTCAAATACTTGTAAGAATGTTAATTTTAATTTTTTTTTAAATGGTCTAAAAATAATACAGAGTCCAAAAGATATAAAATATTTTAGCCAATAAGAAGATCTGTTTTGTTGCTCTAACAAATCTTAATATAATTGTATTCATTATCAATAATAATAAACTAAAAGTGAAATCAATGTAAAGATGGTGTCTAATATATTTTTCAAATTATACGTAATTTTAAAAAATAAGTGTAATTTAAATACATTCAACATACTTCAGCATTTGTCTCCTAATTTCTACAATGCTCGCCAGCTTTCCCCTTTTTTTTATAATTAGAAAATAAGATCTATATCAAAGCTTTTTAGAATACATATATTTATTTATATTCATCTATTTTTTTTTCACGTGAAAACTTCATATATATATATATATATATATATATATATATATTAAACATACTACATATTATCAAAATAAGTTGCTTGTACAAGCAAATTTAGTATTCTCAAATCACTTCATTCTAGACTGTCTTTTCTGCATTCATAGAAAAATTTTATGATTAAATTGAATAAAAAAAAAACTGAGGTTATTACAACATAAATATCTAATGTTTTCTAAATTAAGGCACTCCATTTTGGAAAGGTAAGTTTGTTTTCATGCAATATTTGGTAATTGACATGAAATTTTTGATGCTACGTGATGAATCAATAATAACAACAATAATAATGTTGTAAGTGGTGTGGCCCAAAAGTGTTTGAAGGTGGGCATTTGTTATGCACTATTATTATTAAAATAAAAAACACCCAAATCAAACACATGTATGATTAGAGCCTCTTGGTTAGGAAATTACTATTTGCAATGGTCCCATGAGGCTTGATCCAAGGATAAAGGGATTGGAGACATTTCTTTCTATTTCTACATATAAAATATGACTACTAAATTCCAAAGAACATGTGCACTTTCACACCCAAGTGCCCAAAACTTGTGTACACATAGACATGTGTCGAAGGATTTGAGACCAAATCTAAGATTCATGAAAGATGCAACCATCCTAATATTATTTGAAAAGGAGGGGGGTGCTTGTTGATATGGCAAGTGCATCCATTTTATTTGGTTTTTTTCTTTGTATATTTTTAATTAGGGATTTTCTTCATTTGCTTAATCTTTTTGTTATTTGTCCCTATCTTCAAAGGATTTAAACCACTACTCCAAATGGGACTTGGTTGTTTAGTGGGTGCATTTTGTTTAAACGCCCATGCTCGGCTAACAAAAACGTTTTGTTGTGTATATTCGACATGCAATATGTGAAGGTAGGTTAAGACTTCTCTTCTTGTCCATTCTTGCAAAATTTGTCACGTTTCAAGGTGCATGTTTGGTTGTGTTGAAGGGGATGGATTCTAAATTGGGTTTTAGTTGATTCTTTCACATGTTTTATGCAATTTGGAATAGAAAGATTTGTCAAAAAGAAGAAGCTTGTGAGGATGTATGAATGAATTTTCATGAGCACATGTCTTTTGTTTGATTGAAATTGATTTTAGGTATTTATGATTTTGCAACCATATAATACATTCTTTTACTTTGAAAGAATTTTGAAATAAAATTAATTGTTATAAACTCAAACACGTTGCTCTATTGATATTATATCTTGAGATCACACAATTTGATTAATATATGTCCCTTTTTGGATTGATGAACTACATCACATTACACAAGGAAACATGGCATTGCTTTTGGAATAGGAAAATCACATCAAAAATTCCTAAACACATCATATCAATTATATGGATCCATATTTATTCATTTCTTTAAGATTAAAAAAGAAAAGAAAAGAAAAGAACAGAAGTCATGATTTGTGCAAGAAAAGTTCCATTGTTTTTGGGAACAACATCTAGTATGAGTAGTTGGGAAAGCAAAATAATGAAGAAAATAAAATAAAATGAAATTGGAAATCAAGGGGGTCAACAAAAGTGGATGTTTAATATAGACTCAAGGAGAATCAAACCCCCTCCCCAATATTTTTCATATAATGCCAGAGGGGTTTCATGCCCAAGTGCAAGTTGAAGAAGAGTGAAAAACAAAGCCTCACAAATTCCAGGAAACAACAGCCCCACAAACACATGCCAAGCTCGCATTACATGACTTGGTAGTAATAGATTTGAGTTCCACAATATATGTGTGTATTTGTATTTTGGGGGGGTGGGGGCTCTTTCTATCTCTCTTTAGTCCCATTTTTGATTAATTCTTTGCAGCTGGTACAAAGATACAGTCAACTTTGTCAACACCGAAGGTTGGAGTGGGGGTTGTTAGGGAAAAGATGACATGGCAGAGGGCTCTGAGTATAGGAATATTTAATATTATTATTGTTATTATAATTAGTGTGCAATTGGCCTCGTCCTTCTGGAGGGCCACATCCGTTCCGTCCCTCGTGGACTTGGCTGAGTTGGCACCGGGGGACACAGGAAAGGTCGCCCTCCCTCGGAAAACGGGAATTCCGCCTCCTCGCCCTCGCGATGCACTGTCCATGAGGGCAGGCAGGCAGGCCCAGCGGGTGCAGCTCATCACGGCACCCGGGATAAAATGGATGAATGAATAAGACACATATGAATGAATATGTGGGTGGATGGGGTCGACGTCGCTCTGCGCCGCCCATTCACAACACCCCGGTCTCCATCCTCTCACCAACGGCCACTTCGTGAAAGGGAATGGGCGCCCACTCTCCACGGGCACCCCTTCTCTCTCCCTCCCTCCCTCCCTCCCTCTGGGATCGCCCGGCCGTGCTATGACTGACTCCAAGTCATCCACCCGTGATAACCCCCCCTCCGGCCCCGCCCCGCCCCCGCCCAGTCCCGCCCTTGCTTCGGCTTCTTCCCGTGCTGCTGCCTCCTTCCTTCTTCTTCTTCTCCCGCCCTTCCTTTCCTTTCCTCAGAGGAGGCTAATATTCAAGCGCTCGGTGGTTGTGGTAAGGAAGCGGTTGTGTCGATGATGCTGGGAATGTAATGCGGCGCTGCTGCTCGGAGGGGGAGGCTAACTCTAATTCTCTGTTCGATCGGTCCCGTTTTCTGGCAGCGCCAGCGGCGAGCGGCAAGCGCTGTCTGGCTGTCCCACGGTGCAGGCAGGCAGGCCGCAGTCCATGTGTCAGGCTTTTCACACCTGTCTGTCTGTTCCGCTCTTAATAGGTACAGCCTCTCACTGATCATGGTTTGTTTCCTCTGTTTATTTTTGTTCCTTTTTCGCTAGGTTGCGCGACGGGGCCTCTCTCTCCCTCGCTGTGTGTGAGAGTTCGTCCACTCTACCACCCGTTGTGCCGTCCTGCGATCGTTTCCATGGTTTCGGTGTTGGTTTGTGTGGTTATCTAGCTTGCTTTGCGCGACGTCGCGTGGTGAAGGGCACGAGTATTGCGTCGTATTTGTTGCGTCTGTGGTGGGAGGCACAGGGGCTTTCTTCGTTATCCTTGAAGGGACCTTTGAGTTGTGGTGGCGATGACGGTGGCGATTAATTTGTTTGTGGGATCAATGTGTTTAGTAATTCTGGTTGCTGCGTCGTTGGGAAGCAGGAATTGGCGGTAGATGACAATTGCGATCGCGCGTCAAAGAGAGAGAGTGTGTGTGAGAGAGAGAGAGAGAGAGAGAGAGAGAGAGATGTATTTGAACAATTTTTTCGTGTGCTGGTTTCTGTGTTCGTCTTTGTCGTGCATTTCAGGCCGTCGGTCTTTGAAGAGCTGTTAGGATCTGAACGTCATTACCATGATCGTTGTCTAGCAGCGAATTGATGGGCCATTCTCACGGCGGAGGCTTTCATGTATCTGCTCTAAGTGTGAAAGTACTGACGGTTACACGTCCAAGTTTTGTCATCGAGATTGCATTTGTGGAGAATTGCTGCGCGGAGCCGTACGTCTCGCAGGTCTGTTCTTAACATATGGATCGTAGCTAATTCCGTTTCCTCCTGCATATTTTTGATAAAGTCCTCTGCAGTTCCTGCATGTTACGGAAAGTGCTTGCAGGAGGTATTTTGAGGTAATGCTGAAGCCGCACCACTTTCTTTTGATTTTCGCCTGATCACAAGTCGTGCGTGCTGTCTCAGGTCCTCGCTATTCCTTTTTGACAGCGTCTCATGTGCTTCTACGTCTTTTAAATGTTGGACCAAGCCTTTTGACAGATCTGGTGTGAGTCGAAGGGCTCAATTTGGAATCAATTCTCTCTCGAACGAGACAGAAGACGCATCGAACAAGCATTTACTCCTTTTGCCGATCTCACCCTCTTGGCTCAAAGGAACTAGTCCTCCGTGCGGATTACATTTTTCTGCCGATAAAATCTATCAATCGAGTGTCACTTTTCAGCGTCAAGGCTGCTATCGCCACCGTTGCTGGCCCTACTTCATTTTCAGGTTGGCATCTTTAATTGCCCTGTTAAAAATAGATGCTTTGAGTGCAATCTCTGAGAGGATTTTTTAGATGGAGAAGGAGGTCGGTATTACTCTAGCCACGTAGAGTAGTGTTTTTTGGAGTGCGTGTGCTCGTAGTGCTGGGCAAGGACGCAGTGGCAAATCTAAGCACTGTAGTTGAACTTGTGTGTTGTTTCCTTGGAAACAGACAAATTGACTAACAACCATGGAGGTTTTTACCGCTTCTCTTGGTGTGGCACTGAATGCGAACAATCTGCATGTGCGGCTTGTGTTCTATTTTGATGACGTCTAAGAAGATTCATTGGCTGTAGTGGAGTTGATTAGCGACATGTACGCTAGTAAGAGAAATGATTCAGATTGTAGGGTTCAACATCAAAACTCGGTGTAGGGCACACTAGTCGCTTGCGTTGAAGTCAAACCTACACAGATGATTAGCGCAGGTCTGCTAGGGTGTACTTCCTTCTTGCATATGGTAACGGAAGTCTGTTTGTTTCAACCACGCAGAGTTTGCAAGAGTTCAAATTATTTCTTGGTCGTGACTCGCATTATACTGGATGGGGAAGAAGAGCGGATATAACCCAGAGACACCTGTGTTTCTGGGCACAACTAATGTCAACCTTGCACGAAAGCAACGAGCATGGCGTCTCGCACTTTTTATTGTTACCTTCTGCATCGACATCGTGGCCTCTCTGGTATGTTCTCACTCTGATATTATACCCTGGAGTAGTCCGCTGGCGTTGACAATTTCTTCAGATATAGCTGAAGGGAATTTCGTTCAGGATCTGAAGTGATAGAGTGGCTGGCGGCATCCTACGATAGTTGCACTCTATCCGTAGTGTCTAGCTATTTCGTGGAATCCCCGAAGCAGTAGCTCTCAAAGTTGGATGACTTTAATTATATCCTGCTGCGGTCCCTCATGTGATTGTTTGGTTGTGGTCTCGTGCATCTCCTCCATCAGATAATTTGTGACGTAGGAAAATGTTGAGTATAGAACTTACTTGGCTCGACAGCTGGTTTTCTTTTTCCCTAGATGTGTTGGCCGAAGTTTTTATGTCTTGTTTGCAGCACGGATCTCCCTTATATGTAATGTCGAGCTTAGTGTCTTCAATCACAACGGAATGGTGTAATGCGTAGCGCATTTTGGTGGATTTTGGTGGTTGCGAGTTTTCGGTATTGTTGACATGATTTGTGGTTTATGCAGATGTTATTCACTATTGTGCATCTCTGGAGTGATAAGAGTGATTTTCCGATTTGGAGTTCGCTGAAAGACTTTTACAGGGACACGTCAGATTTGATTGTGCTTTGCGTTATAAGAATCTTATGTCTTGCTGGTTTGGCACATGTGGGAAGTCTTTTGGCTATGAGTGAGGCTGTTGCTAAAGAGGAACTGAAGTTTAAGCCAAAACCAAAAAGGGATGATCACCTGAAAGGTTTGGTTCAAGTCAATGGAAAAGTTCGAAATGGTGAAGCAATTGGTAGCATTAGAGAGCCTCTTCTCACGAAAACGGAACCCAAGTTGGAGGTTAAGTCAATTACCGCATACGAAGAGTGGTTTTCAGGATCATCTAAGAAAGACATTGTTCTCTTTGCGACTTTTCTAATCTGCACTGCATTTCAGGTAACTTTTTTTTTTTTTTTTTTTTTTTTTTTTTTTTTTTTTTTAATTTTTTTATTTCAAGTTTGAAACTTGTAGGAAGTGGAGCAATGAGATTTCCAGAACCTCTCCAATTACCAGTTTTTGCAGAGGTTCTGAAGCACGTGACCTGTGTATCTGACGCGAATGGCTTCTCAAGCGTGAAGAATTTACAGTCACGGTTACCTTTGGTTTTATGTGGAGTTATGAGTCTGCACGTGTGGCTTATATTTGTTCATTGCTTGTGCTTATCGAGTATTTTATCGCGCATGGAAGTTCTAATCCAGGAAATGTGGAGTGCCTCGCAGATTTTGCAGTAGAAATTGTACATGTGTTTTTAACCGAGAACACAGAAAATTCGATTACAGAATTTGGTGGACATGGAGCCTTGCATGATGGGAAGCTTGTTGCGTGTCAGGTTTTTGATCGTATGTGATATCCGTTGGGATGCAGGCATATGTAGGAGCGAAGTGCGTGAGTTTCTATTTTGATGTGGAACACTCTCTATTCAACGTCCGGGTTGAAGTATTGCAGAGTGTTTTGATGAGCACAACTGTTGTGTGGATCAATGCAGAAAGTTCTCTGTTGTCAAGGGTTGTGGATGCCAACCGTGTTCTGGCACGTGCTATGTTCTTGAATTCTAAGCGTAGTCGACCGGACTCACATGATTCTCGTGTTTCCGTGATCACAAACAGGTCGGCTCATTGCATCATTTATAATTGTTCAGTTTTGCATGAAACTGACCTATTACGCTGCGTGATCAATTTTTGATAAAGACTTTACTCTGTTTAGATTATCTGCGTAATTTGCAAAAACAAAGGAGTACAGCGATACTTTGAACAGTAGCATTATGGAGTTAGATATCATCGCATTTTCTGTTCTTATCTGAAATACAAACTCATTTTAGTTCTGTTTGACAAGTGCAGCGTGAACCTTGCGAATGGAGATCCCACCGAGGAAGGCACCTTGAAGGGCGATAAAGGCTTGAAAAACGAGACAGAGATTGATCAGAACAGCTACTTATTGCGTGCCATCAGATTGGCCAAAAATGAAGCTTGTTTACTGGCATGCGCTCTCTTATGTCTTGGTCTTTCTTCTCTATCAAGTTTGATACTACCAAGCTATCAGGTATACATTGCATGTTGACCTTGTTCTTTGTTATCCAGGCATTTTTTCTCTTTCTTTTCTTCACGCGGAGATCCAGTGCCATAGCCGAATATTTAGACATTTTTGCAGTGCACACTCCTAGTGGCGTTCTACGTAAGGTGTTTTTACTGACGTCTTTCGTTCTTCATCCCCGCCTTTTGCAGGGCCGTATCCTGGATCATGTGATTCAGAGGGATGTATCACTGTTCAAGAGGGATGTTCTGTTGCTGATTGCCTTTAGCTTAATGACAGGATTGTTTGAGGCTGTGCGAAACCTTTGTTTTGCTGTAGTAGGGAAACGTGTCTTAAAGACTCTGCAAGACAAGCTCTTCATGGGCATTGTCATTCAAGACATTGCTTATTTTGATGGTACTACATCTGGCGAGGTGGGCGTGCTACTTTCAATCTGAGACTAGTGGATGCTTGAATACAAGAAGTAAATTTCAGTACTTCTGCAACTGATAGGAAAGAGCGCTTGAAATTATCACCTTAAACTAGAAGGCATGTTTACGAGCGGATGATATGGTCTCAAGGATTTTTTTTTTTTTTTTTTTTTTTTTTTTTTTTTTTTGTCATCAGGAATTCAGATTGTTATGGTAATGAAATGTGCACAACTTCTACCTGCTCTAAATCACTAACGTTGTGAACTTTTATGAACAGCTCACATCTAGGCTTACAAATGATGTCTCCTCAATGGCGGAGCCAGTGAATTGGATGCTATCCGCTCTTTTGCGCAATTGTCTCTCTCTCGTGGGTGGTTTCACAATGTGCTTTATGATAAGTTGGAAGCTGAGTATGCTGGCTTTTACAACAATGGCTCCAATTATGCATATTACAGCGGTTTATTCAAGGTATGTGGTTTGATGTTAAGTATGGGCTTTACATACATTTCTCTTTGGGTTATCCTTCAATGTTCTGTTTAGTTGACGTTATGAACACTATATTTCTTGTTTGGGTCGAGCAGGTGGTCTCGGGAACTCAATCGCAAGCGTTATGCATTGCTTGCTGAGGCAAATTCAGCCGCCTCTGAAGCTATTGGGAACATTCGTACAGTGAGGGCATTTTCCACTGAAGATACGGAACTAGATCGTTTTAAATCCAAAACCTATGGTGCTATGCAGAAAGGTGTTAGGGATGCTTATGCTTATGCAGGGGCTGTTGCTGTTAACGATTGGTTGGATTTAGGCGCATCAGTCTTAATCCTTTGGTAAACTATTTCCTTCTTGATTCCCTGCCTTTGATATTGGTGGTATATCTTTTTCCCCAGACTTTGACTTAGGATCAAGTAATTGTTTGGTTGGCATTTGGTTCGACTGGAGTCAGAAACGTTCTATGTAACGCTAGGCGTTTCTCAAAAGTCAACACAGTGGATTTACTATCGATTGTTGCACATGTTCTGAATTATTTAGTTCTCGCATTTATTGCTGTCAGTATACAGAAACGATGCGGTGTACGTAATGATGGGATAAATAATATGAGCCTTATTTGCAGGTACGGAGGAGTGCTCGTGATGAATGATCGACTGTCTGCGGGAAAATTGATCACGTTTCAATTGTATTGGAATCAAATTCAAAGTGCATATCAGAGCATTATGTCAGTATTGATGTCCTTGACCAGAGCCGCAGGTGCTGCACAGCGTGTGCTGTCGTTGGTGGATGCTCTCCCAGATATTGATCGGAATTCGGGCACTCAGATTTCCAAGTTGGATGGAGAGATTAAGCTTGAGAATTTGTACTTCTGCTATCAAATGCGTCCACAACATCCTGTCCTGCAGGGTGTTGATCTCACAGTTGGCAAAGGAGACGTGTGTGCGCTGGTTGGACGAAGTGGCGGTGGAAAGTCGACCATTGTTCATCTCCTTATGCGATTTTACGATCCCACTGCAGGGCGAATTCTTTTGGATGGCTGGGATTTGAGGGATCTAAATCTTAAATCTGTTCACCAGCACATGGGATTGGTAGCACAAGAGACACAAATGTTCGCTTGTTCAATTCTAGAAAATATCACCTATGGATTGTCAAGTTGGCGGCAAGAAGATTTGGAGGAGGCTGCAAAGTAGGTCCTTCATTCGCTTTTTACATTCGTCACCTGGGAAACTGCTTTGTCTGTGTTTTGTGCTCGTTTCATTTGTGATGTACATCTTAAGTTTCCAGTTTGCTTATTACGTAAGCATATTGCACTGGCGGAATCTGTACACGAGGGATTACAAAGCTGCGGTTATGGGACAGACATTGCACAGATATCTACACAACAACTTCATTTATTTTAGTTTTACACAAGTGTCTTAGTGTGGTTTTTGACAAAGTTTTACCACGGTTTAATTTTGCACACCAGGTATGCGAATGCTCATGACTTCATTATGAAATTTCCCGAGGGCTATGCGACAAGAGTTGGGGAGAGAGGAGTTAGACTGTCTGGGGGTCAACGACAGGTACTTAAATCACATTTCATTCTTCAAAACACTTCTTCCCTGTATGTAATTCCGACGCTCTATAATCACTGTCCAGTGTTGCGTAGTAGACTATCATTTTAAATGGAAAATTTTGCCTTGCTAGTGTCTGTTTAATGTATAGCCTGTCTGGAGGTAGGGGCCACTCAACTGGGCCACATAATGTCCATCTAAAACACTTGCGCTCTGGGAAGTCTTGGAATGTTAGCGTTGATTATATCGTGATCCTAAAGCTCATCTGGGCATAACTTGTCTGTTGGGTTCATGATGCTCTAGATCTGTTTCGAGTTTTAATTCTGATTGTGTGAATGGTTACAGCGCATTGCAATTGCACGAATGTTGCTACGGCGACCTAAAGTTTTGCTATTGGATGAAGCGACAAGTTCTCTGGACACTGAGAGTGAAGCATTGGTGCAACAAGCACTAGATCGGCTTATTGGGGAGGGAGGGCGAACTATCGTTTTAGTCGCACATCGACTTTCGACCGTGCGGAACGCTGATAACATTGCAGTATTGGACAAAGGTCGTCTTGTTGAACAGGGGACTCACGAGGAACTCCTGATGCAGAGTATGTCACTGATATGTACGCTTCTTGGATCTTGTAATTTTGCTTTGCCTTCTATCCAGCAATTGGGTTAATATTATGTTCAATTGTTCTAGTGTCATGGATGATGAATTAGAGCTCTTCTGAACTGTGAAATGTTCTGCAATACTAACACTCCATGGGTATATTCTACAGAGAGTGGAGTTTATGAGAAGCTTGTGAGGAGGCAGTTGCATAAAGTAAGCAATCGCATTATGGAGGATCCTGAGGAGCTTGACACAGCTGCTGATACAATCGACGCGCTAATCGATGAGACTTCGAATGGAAAACTGTAGATTTTACAGCTTTCCGCACATCTTGCACTATATCTGATTTCCAGTTGTCACCCTCTGCAAGGATTTAGAGGAAACTATCTCCTTAACTCGAAGAGCAGCTCTCACACATAGCATTGCTAAATTTTACCGGCAAGAGCACGTGCTGCAGAGCTTTACCACGCCAATGTGACGCTACATGGAGAAGTAGGTGCAGATTACAGACTGGCTCCCCCACGAGCTCGATTTCGGCTCAATTTGCCTGTTATCACCAACCTGGAAAACATTTTCCGCCCTATCGAAGAGGCTACCAGTGTACTCGTCAATTTTAGCAGCACATATTGGATGTTTTCATCTGGTTGTGCCTTGCAGCGCCCGGAGAGAAATTGGAGAATGGGCTGAAACTCCATATTTTTTTAGAATTATTGGGTAGAGTATTGTTCTATGTGGGTTACTGCCTCTCAATTACTTTAGATAGGCAATTTTTTGGAAACGAGTTTTGTCTTAAGGTCATAGGTTCTTTACAATTTTGAATTTTCTTAAGTTTAAGTTTCCAATTTGGATTTGGTAATTTGGGCATTTCAAGAGTTGATCTGTAATTAAAAGCCGGCTTGTCCCAGATATTGGCGCCCAGTCACTCTACAAGGGATGTAAGGCGCAATCATTAGGACCAGAAATACTCAAAGCAGCGTTCCCATCTCTTAAGGTGCAGTTTGACTTCAATTACTTAGTGAGCTTTTTCTTTTCTTTTCTTTTCTTTTCCCAACTCACGGGAAATCCCTGCTATACTTATAAATAACAACAGTCGGTTTTTGACAAACTATGGCTGAAGTGCTGAATATCCACTGTTCACATGGTGTTTATCTTTGCTGTTTTGTGTTGTTTTCTGAATGTCATCACAATTTGGAGATTATTGTGTTGTGTCCAGGCAGGTCCTCTGAACTTGTGCCTTGTCAACTTTACCCTCAAATAGTGTGAAGGAGATATAAATGTGACTCATGCCCACCTTAACAACCCTCATTACTTTTGAGTACAAGCAGCCAGCACCTGGTTGATACTTCGACGACTGAGGCTATTTTAATATCATAACAAGAGAAATTGGCAGTGACGTCAATCTTACTACACAATTGTATTTATTAGGCAGGAGAAGTTCTAGAGACTCAATGCTGGTATTTTGACCCACACACATCGAACTTCCATCAAGATCTATACCGTGCAGAGAATTTTTTAATGGAATATTGTTGTTTGAAATGGTGGTTTTTGGCAATGAGTAGTTAAATATTTGATTAAAATAAAAATCGTTCTCAAGGCAGTGTGTTTTCCAGTGCTGTATCAATCCAACAAATGCAGTACATGTTTATAATAATTGTCTACGAGGACGCATTTCTAACTATGTTTCTTTTCATTTCAATTTGTCTATTTTCCATACAGTGATTCCTTTGGGTCGGGAATGTGTGTTAGTATCTTCTTTGTGTCATCCACAATAGTCACTGAGACGCCGCCTCCTTCAACCGTGAGCCTCATGCACGTCTGACGAGAAGTTTAAAAAATATGTCATGTGAATTGAACATGAGCATCGTCCACGGTATCAGAAACAGCAAGTCGGGAACGAAGGCCAATAAAACCATTCCTGCTCTACCATGTCTGAACGCTTCCCACTGGAAGCACCTTTACGACTTGGGAACCGAGGAAACTGTCTCATTCCTTCAAAAGCTGGTATACCAAAAACAGCATAATGGAATGAGACCAGTCACGTTAGGAACCTGCCAAGGTTTCAGAACAAATCTACGAAAGATTTAATAATTCATTTGAGATCAGGCCCTGGTCCACACTATATTTCCTAATTTACCTCTGCAACTGGCTCAGCAGGAACAGACATCTGATTCCAAACTTCTGTCAGCTTTTGAATGGCTGTGTGAGCAGCCTCCAAGAACCAATCATCACTTGGCAACACACTACAAAATAGAAGATCACATACGCAATTTCTAAGATAACTGCTGGTACATGTTAGTCTTCATAATAGACGGCCAATGACCTCAAAAACTTCAGTCCTGGACAATCAACAATTACAATTCCAGGTTCCAGAAGCCCTGCATGCAATCAAATTCCATGCGCTGAAACCGCCCGACAGGTACATGTAAGATGAGAGATCTTCCTATGCATTTCCTTTATATAATGTATACTATCACACTACACCTGGACCTGAACTGCCAACCTTTCTGGATCGGCTCCCGTTGCAGCAAAAGCGTGAACAGCCCGAGAAGTTAGGCCAGTCAACAGAGAATGCAATGAGCGAGATCCCCAACCGCTGCTTGATGCCATTTGGATTATAAATTGCATGTTCAAAACAAACTGTCGACCAGAACATCATGTGCATCTTAGTAAACTCTGCACTGAAATTCAATTTACAAAACTTCACTGCAAATAATGCACATGGCTACGTTAAAAAGATACTCCACTGCAAAACCAAACTACAACCACTATACTTCTTGTTGGTACTTGTCGGTACATTAAGCTCTCTCATTCGAGACCCATGACTCATATTCCTGCATTCTGCTGAAATCACAGATCGATACGCTAGACATCATTGGAAGAATTATTAGCTTGAGCTTGTGTCAAAAGAGACTCATTAACTTATCTTCTATTGGTAGCCGACTGACGCCTACTATTAGGGACAAGAAGTTCATATTATGTAAATTAGCTCGTATCCATGTGGTGCATCATCTCCATGCATGAAGTCGTAGATCAGAGACAGGCAAACTGCAGATGATGAAGTGGTGCAGGGCTGGTTACAGATTAAAGTTCCCAGGGAACTCCAACCGTATCCATGAAGTCGTTGCGTTTATCAGGTTAATTTTGTCCATACCGTCTCCCCAATGATTGTGTTCATTGGGATCACTAAGCAATAAGCGTTTATTCAACAAAGCTGTTCACAATTTATAACCACCCTAACGATTTCAACCATTAAGGAAACATGAATGGACTGCCATGAAAGGAACTGAATGCTGAAATTCATGATGAAAACAGCCTCCCCACAATTCATTATTTTTAACAGGGTGAAGAGAGTGTTTACTTGCTTTAGGCCAGTGGGACCAATCCTACTGGGACAGTCTTCAATTGTGCTCCAAAACTTATCCTCGTCCATGTAAATAACGAAGACCTCCAAGAGACGTGCGAGTAACGGGGTAACTACTCCTCTGTCGATAAATGCCACTTCAGCAGCTTCGCTAATAGAATTCAACCTAGCAAATAATAACTGCCAGAAAAGAAGCACTTCACGTCAACATACTAAAAAAGCGGCACAATAAATAAAAGAAAAACCTACAGTGGTGCAGCACTTTTGCACACACTGAGATGGTAAGAAACTTGGGAATATAAAGTTGAATAAAATCTCCACTCCGAAAGCCGTACAGTCTCCAGCAATATTGATTAGAGTATCTTCAGAATCGTAACGATGCACCCCTACAATTATTAACTTTTCAACCTCAGCAAATTGAAAGACAGTCAAGAACCTGCAGCCTAGCCAAATCACAAGAAAACGAACCTGAAAAACCAACGAGGGCATGCAGTCTGGTTGTAATGACGTTTTCGTTTCTTCCACGTCAAGAATGAGGTATGTTGCAGGATTGATCTGAAGTTCATTTCTATCTGCAGAATATAGCAGGAGTTTGACGTGGTATTTACAAATATGAAATTGCAATCTTTTGACCGCCTTCCGTAAATTTTGTCGCCAGTCTTTCAATTCTGGGATGAATGTTGACTCTATATCTGCCTCTTTGACCTGAGCTTTCTCAAGGATCCCCTCGCATGATTTTTCAATACCTGGTAGTAGCTTTAAGGCTGAGCGAGGCAACAGCTCATTAGCGAGTGCTGTAGCATTACTTAAGAGACCGAGTTGCTCAACCACGGTGCGCGCAGTTTGTTCCTACGCCAGAAGAATTAGTTTATCAGCTGTAAAAGTGGATAATACGCTCTATTAAAATGAAACATTCACTATAACTATGAGTTTTTGCAATTATATTACAGTGAAGATTTTTTTGTATGCAGAAGTGAACGTTGTGAAACTAGACTCTGTGTGTAGATAAATTTTGAAAGCCAACCAGGACCATCTAATCACAAGTCTTCAATACGAAGAAGAATTCTCACCCTTTTGACCTCTGAGAAATCAGGTACTGCTTTAATGAGCATGTCGACATAGTTGTTGAATCGTACAGCGAGACCTTCTAATGCTACTCCAGCTAATTGCATGCTCACAAGTGGAGAAACGCCTGCCATGAAGTCCTACAAGAAACTAGTCATTTACAATCAGAAGCGGGTGACAAATACTGCAAAACATCTGATAATGGTATGAACGTAGGTCCCTTGACAATGGGATATAGTCCTTGGTTTTTCCAAAGCAAGCTTACAGATCAGTCTGTTGGAGATAAGGTTGTGGGTTCATTGTATCATTTGTCTAAATTGGATATATAAAGAAACCATGATAATCTTTCCAAATTATGATGAGATAAAGCAATCAACTTAAACCGTGGCAATTATTTGATGTCTCACACAAATAATTTTACGACAGAAGCAGTGACATAATGAATTTCAAGTTGAAGTTTACTGACAAACTTAGTCTAAAAGTGTAATATTGAACATACAAAAGTGACGAATATGGTGCCAAAAACCGACAAGCAAAAGAGAACGGATGAAGAAAACCTGGGCCATGCAGTTGAATCGATGAGCGCTGCAAGATAACTTTACACTTTCTCGGTTCAAGTTTCGTTTGACGGATCGGGTCCGACCTAGTTGTGAATCAAATAGTGGTGTTTGCGGGTGGAACGTGAGCATCCAATCATCAGCTGATACCATAGCAGTCACGCTCTCTTCTATTCTCTTCAAATTTGCCTCCAAAGCCTGCTCGATACTCGACCTAAAGACCTTAGCCAGCAAGGGACAGATTGACAATCCTTGAGCTTCCAGTAACGAACAGTGACCAAACGCAATCTGAACGCATTCAGCCGCTGCTCGAAGTCCTCCTGCTGCAGCAGCCGACGACAGCACATGTTGCTTGATTTGGTGGGCATAGATCTCTGTTACGCCTCGAGCCCACACCACCAGCTCTGAAGCGTAAGCTGGAATTGCTCCAAACACTGTCAATGAATCTCTTTCAGCCTGTGGAATCCGAGACTAGTTCAAAATCGACAACACGAGAGCAACGTTCTGGTCAAGATTTGTGCAGCCTATGATAATGGAGCACGTTAAATTAAAGTTGAAACAAATATTCATGGAGTAATATCATGATCTGAAAGAATGAATCTAATGTATTTCTTTATATTTTTGTGTATGTGGAAGCTTTTCAATGGCCAGACAATGAAAATTAAAAGCTAATCACATTGCACTAAGTCACATAACTATCCTCCATCTCAACCAAATATGGTTAATCTACCTAATTATCATTGTTATCATTGGTTCTTGCACTTGAACTAGTATTTCCATACAGAAAGCTCGAACTTGCTCAGAGCTTTTGAAAACTAGGATTCAGAAAACAAAACAGAGCAACGGGCAGTCAAGGTCTGAGATTAGTATTTCAGGAAATTCAACAAAGAACGTCATCCTTGGTTGTTATTAGCCGAGTTTCGTACTATTTTTTTAACAGAAAAATTAAACCAAGTAGCGAGGTGAAGTCGATGACCGTGCCTGGGATATTGCAGAGAATGTCATTTGAGACAGAGCAGCAGTAAAGGCGCCCCCATAGGATGTTCCGCTTGGACGAAGACCATGAATTTTGTGCTCAAGGCGTCCGCGATGAGCGAGGAGCAGCAGAGTGTGCGCACGATTTCCTTCGCCTAGTCTTATTAGAGCAGATATAGCAGAGCGCAGCTCCACACCCCGGACAGATACCTGTCGGCACACGTCGCTCAAATAGTTCACAAGCCTTATCCTCCTCTCTGATAATGCAACATGCAAAACCGCTGCAGATATTGATTTCACAGGATTTAAGTTGTCCTCCACATTGGTAGAATCATAGCCCTTGTCTATCATATCTTCACCTTCCTCCAAGGCTGATAGCGCTAAATCAATCCTTCGTTCCTCCAATAAGACGTCAAAGGCGTCAGGAAATGTTTTTGCCTTATCGTCAAACTTTGAAGTGATTGAACCCTCTCCCATGTGGATGTCAGAGCTGATATCTGAATGCTTAGAATCTAGGACTGGCCATTCCATGGTTGCTAAACTTAGGACGACATCTGCTCTGGAACGTAGTAGAGTCCGTAATTTAAGTATATCCACTTCTAAACCAGTCACCTCCCGGGACGCCCTGCAACCAGTAAACAAGTTTCTAAATCCTGGTTGGAATATTCATTCCAAACATAAACTTCTTCTCACCACCTTTGGTTTCAACATCCCATTGCACAAAAAACTGGAAACGACCCACAATATGATTTGCCTAAATTTGATGCCCTTCGATGCGAGTTTCTGATGCAGGGACACATGTAAATACATTGGCTGAACTAAGTGCGTTCCCACACCAACCGGCAAAGATTATCTTGCACCCATGAAGACTGTACATATAGAAGCGTCAGGATAGCTATGATTCCAAAATTGTAGATATTCCCCGAAGTGGAAATTACTAGGGTGCAAGCCAACGTATCTTACTGAATGAAGACATCATAATGAGATAACATGGATTTTATCATTTCTTTCGCGGATTTACGTTGCAACTTTTTCAGCTCCGCAATCATGACTTTGAGGTCCTGTCCATGCCCAGATGAAGCATTGAGTGAAAGACTACAAGATTAACTCAGCTTTCACTCCCAAGATGAGGAAGAAATATGATACAATTGATAAGAGCGTGAAGGCGCTTATGTTAACAGTCATCACACGGAAAAGGACTGGGCACAAAGCTAAAGCTGCAGTTGCAGGTACACAGGGACAAGGCTAGCAAGTCCCGGCTAAAAACAATGTAGCGTGAGGTGAATTCCTCTTATGAAATCCCACAATGTGGAGTAGTGGCCTCTAGACTCTGATCTGGTTCGCGTGGATGATTGTAATACTAAACTTACGTGCTGGGATCGATGTTTGGTGATAGTAATACTATCACAAGCTGCCAACGTTTATATGAATTTTATCTTACATTTTTTTGAAGAGAATTTTATCTTACATTTTTTTGAAGAGAATTTTATCTTACATTTTTTGTGTTAGCTGCGCTGCAGTTGACCTTGCGTTCCCCTACACAGGCACAGAAGTTTCGGTAGACAACAGCTTTCCATGGAGTCTGGCAAACAGAAGAGGCACCAGCAATTATCACGAGTTCATGAAGATTTTTCTCCCATGTAGCATGCCGTGATATAATCAGGTGAATTGAAGTAAGATTTTATGTGAAACTTAGCGGCAACAAATCTGATAAAATAGACACAATCCTCGTTAAAGCTCATAGAGACTTGGGAAGAATTATTAAGTGGAAAAACTGATCACACCTCTTTCTCCTTCTCCGTTGGGCGGAGTCTGTCAAGCACATACGAAGTGGGAGAAAAATCTTCCTCTTCAAACAATAAAAGCTCGCGCCGTCGAGATCCATCGTCAGGGCTTTCATAATTAGGGGTATTACGGAACGACATTGAAAAATCATAGCTCTATGTGGAGCACTACATTTCTTCTATCCCTTCAATTCTTAAATACCTATGCCGACGAAAAGGGGGACATTCGACCTGTGTAACTTACAGATGTCAATTAGTGTCAGCTTCAGGCATCCACACCAGAAAATATTTCGTTGAACTTATTGTTCCACTTTACACAAAGCTCTTACAGCAATGGAATTCGCTTCTAGCTTCCACCCGTGTTAGCACATTGACCAAAACAATGTGCATAACTCTTGCATACGGTTTCCATAATTCTAAATGCAACAATTTCTACCAGAACCTCCCCAGCCTGCTTTAACTTAGCTCCCGGCTGAAATGTGGCATGTGCAATGTGCTTTACCGGTATCTCTGATCTTTCAATTAAATATGAAGGGAACATTATTGCAGCGAATTAGATAGGTAAACAATAGGAGATTCAAAAACAATGTACCCCACTTATTCTTCTCCTGACGCTTAACTTCAAAATTCCTATTTGAGTTAGGGTGATTTCCAAAATGGCATACGTAACCTATTGCTCGGTTTCCAAAAAACATTTGTATGCAAATTCTTAATTACAAATCTAAACCACTGAAACAAATAAAATCCTACAAAAAAATGAATCACAAGCAAAAGACAATTGTAGAAGACAGTGATTCACTACTAGCAATCTGATGTTGCACTGAATCTCATTCAATCAGTGGATCTACCATCTTCGATACCTTCGTCGCAACAGCACATATCCAGGTCGAGCTCAGCTTCAGTTTTTAAAAAGCGAAGGGGAATTTTTGCAATCAGTTAACATCAATGTAAATCTGGAGTACATGTCAGCAATTTAACCTAAAGCGAATTCAAGAACATCAAAATTCACAGAATACGTGGAATCTCAAGAAACACTGAGGTTGACCTCGCGCATCAGGCGAGAAGATACGCTGGCTATAGTTTTCCTAAGCAAAACGGATGTTGCGCAACCTGCAACGCCTGCAGCTGCACCATAATCATAGTGAATACATTGAACACATTCTGCACCTGAATCACGCAAGGCCTTTAAATTCTCCAACCAATCTTTAAAACCTGGAGAGAGATAACAATGAAAAATAACTTGCGGTTCAACAAATTGACAAGTTACTTCAGTACAAGTACCATGCCTTCCACCAATATCTACGGTCGATGCATGAAAAACTCCAGTGAATTTCTAAGAAGCCATGAACATCTTCCTCACACTCGAATCAAGACCAATTAATCGTCACCTATAAACAAACTGTCACTCTCTAATACACACTTCCTTGCGGGGAGAAATCAAACAAGATCATGTTCTGTTATCTGCATAAAATTAAGAAAAAAAAAGAAAAAAAACAAACAAACAAACAAACAAACAAAAAAAAACAAAAAAAAGACAGAAAAAAGGTGAGATGCGGCTAATACACATGAATCTCGCCCTAATCTCTGCTTCTCACCACAGTTTCTGTGATTTTTTTTTTTCCAATTGCACTGAAACTGTAGAACATCACAAGCAGCCATCAACTCAAAAAGAAGACGAAAACGAGGAATGAGAGTCATATCACCACACCATGAGATCGGTGGCAAGCAGTAGAATCCCTAATGCGAAGAGTGAACGGCAAGGTCGCCTCACGTCACAAACGAAACCCTGAAACAAAGCACGGGGCTAAAATGCGGCAGCAGCAGCAACCTCTGCGATAAGCCACCACTACGACTGCTCCCTGGACCTGATTCTCTTCCTCGATGACTTCACAACAATTCCATCGATGCCATAGCAAGTCACGTTCAGAGATTGAGTGCTACTCCCTAACACAAAATTTTTGTGTAATTTTGTTTTTGAAAAATTATCATGATTATTTATTTTGAATAATAAAAACATTCCAATCAATCAGATGTATCACAATTGGATCATTTATTTGTTGTAATAATTATTTTTAGATTTTTTTTATTAATAATAAGAAAACATACAATTAATTTTTTATCTCAAATTAAATAAATAAATCATCAAAACCTTTTAGAATAATTTTTATTAATATGGGAGATTATTCATTTGCTTAAGAAGTAATATGTTAAAATAAACCAAAAATATATAATAAAGAGTAATATATATATATATATATATATATAGATGCATAAATAGATATATAAATATTTAAATAGATGAATACAAACACATCCAAAATCTATTATTTTAACAAAAAAGATACAAAAGAGCTTTGTTTGTGTTGAGATCATTAAATGTAGCCGACGCTCTCCATAATATTTATTGTGGACTATAATAAATATTGTAGCTACAATATTTAGAGTCTAATGGAGAAGTATTGTTTATCCTCTCCCCTTTTCTCTTCTTGTATACGAGACACAACCAGATCAATAGATTTTTATGTGTGAAGCTCTCTCTCCTTAGAAACCCTCTTGTGTGTATGACTTACTACTACTCTTGTGTGTATGAGTATTACTTACTATTACTCTTGTGTGTGTGTGTATTACTTACTATTACTCTTGTATCTTTCTAAAAATTCTCAACACGTTATCAGCACGACTCTCTTCTACACACTACCACAATTTTTTTTTGCTCTAGTCTTGACTTTTCTTGCTACTCTTGCTCAGTGTCTGCCTTATGATCTTGCTACTCTTCTTCCTGGCCCCTCACACATTAGCTACTTGCTTAGAGCACTTGTTCCACTCTTTGCCTTATTTGTTTAGAATACTTGCTTAGAATACTTGATTTAGCCTAGCTTCACCTTGCTCCTACTACGCCCCGCGCCAACTGCCAAACAGACACCAAATAGCCACCAAACAACCGCTGAACTACCGCTGCTGCCACCCTACCATCCCTGATGCTGACACTAATGCTGCCGCCTACCCTGCCGCCGCTGACGCTGATGCTGACGCTGTTGCTGCTGCCCACCCTGCCGTTGCTACTGTCACTGCTCGTCGCTGCCACCCTGCTGCCATCTTACTGCTATTCTGCTGCCTTAATCCATAATCTCTCCCTATCTATATATATATATATTTATTTTTAAAATTCAAGTTTATCATTTTATTTGACTTTATATTTTAAGGTACGTTATATTCAACTTTTCTACTTGATTTTGTATTTTCTTTACAGATTCATTTAAAATGAGTGTTTCAACATCTTCAAGTACCTCTACTATGGTTCCAACTATTACTACTGCACCCCAACATTTTTAAGCTCTTTTATTTCCACCATTGACTGTGGATGGAAACAATTATTTATTATGGGCAAAAATGGCAAAAGCAAATTTATTTACAGAACAACTCTTCAATGCCATTATGTTTGAAGAATCTCCTACAATAAGTATTTTTATTCCTCATGCTATTCATTGGAAAGCACTTCTTCTCCTTCGTTGTCATCTTGTACCTGCATTACAACATCAATACTTGGAAATGGAAGATCATGTAGAACTTTGGAAGAATCTTAAATCCAGGTTTCATCATCAAAAGACCATTTTCCTTCCACACGCACGTCATAATTGGACACATTTACGTGTCTTGGATTTTCTAAATTTAAATGCTTTCAATAGTGAAATGTATAGTATTGTCTCATAATTACGATTATGTGGACAAAGCATCTCTGAAGAAGAAATGATTGAGAAAACTCTCTCTACATTTCCTCCTGTATTTGCTGTGCTTGCACAAGAATATAGGAACATGAAATTTCAGAGTCATTCTGATCTCATGTCCTATCTACTTCTTGTGAAGAAGCAAAATGAGCTATTCTTAAGCAATGTGGAAGCTTGTCCTATTGAAACTACAGTTCCAGAATCTCATGCACTTAATATTTCAAAATCTAAGAAAAAATTATATAAACATAGAAAACATGCTTATAAATATGAGAGTAGTCATAGTCATGACCATTTCTACCCATATGGAAAGAATAAATGTTCTATTATTAATTATAGTAGAAAACAAAAATCAAAGATGTGTTCTTGCCATAAGTGTGGAATGATTGGACATTTAGCACATGCATGCCATACTTCAAATTTTTTTATTAAAATGTTCCAAGTAAATAAGAAACTATGAGCTGAGGCTCATGAAGTTCATACCATGGATGCGTCCATGGATTCAATTGGTGTTGATGACTCAGAGGCTTATATGAATGATAAAACCTCTAATGATGAATCAAATGATGCGCTCATTGATTCTACAATAACACATACTATCTTGCAAGATAGACAATTTTTTATTGAAAAATCTTCAACTTGGTAAACTAAAAATATGATGACCATGGCTAGAACAAATGCGTTTTTATTTCCAAGAGGGCATAGCAATGGTAAAATTACCTACGAGTTCCATTATAAAATGTAAATATGCAATGTTTGCACCTTCAGCACCTCGGAGTCTGATCAGCTATCGAGATGTGCATATTAATGGTTATGACCTCTCGACCGCAATTTTAAATAGAAAAGAGGTTTTGGTTCTTGCGAAGAACCATAAAGTTGTTGAAAAAGCTTTTGCTACAAAAAATGGTTTATACCAAATTGTGATTTGGCTTTCTATTATATTTAATTTTGCATCATTTATCACAGAGAGTCGTGTTTCTCTTTGGTTTGGATGATTGGGACATCCAGGATCCACATTATTTAGAGAGATCATTCCATGTATAACTGTGCATAATTTAAAGCCTGTAGATATAGACTCTATGGAATTATGTCATGCATGCATGCAAGGTAAAATGATTACTCAGCCTTCAATTTGGAAACTTCCGCAAGAATTACCACCAATGCTTGAAAGATTGCATGGTGATATTTGTGGTCCTATTAATCCAATATCAGAACCATTTCATTATTTTTTGGTCTTTGTTGATGCATCAGGTAAACAATCATATGTTTTATTATTATCAACTCAAAATATGGTGTTTGCTAATCTTATATCTATATTTATTCATTTTTGGGCACATTTTCCTGATTATCCTATAAAAACATTGCATATGGATAATGCAAAAGAATTTGCATCAAAGTCTTTTGAAGACTATTGTACTACAACAAGAATTGAGTTGACATATTGTGTTCCATATGAACATGCTCAAAATGGACTTGCAGAGTCATTTATAAAGTGTATACAATTCATTACCTGGTCACTCCTCCTTCACACAAATTTATCTGTATCTATGTAGAGTCATGCAGTTTTACATGCTGCAGCATTAATACGCCTCTGTCCTTCTTTTCTTGAAATTGTTTCACCACATGAACTCATTTTGGATCATGTTTCAAATATATCTCACTTACAAGTATTTGGTTGCTGTGCTTGGATTCCAGTACCAGAACCTCAATGACATACCATTGGAACTCATCGACAAGAAGGCATATATATTGGTTTTAATTCACCAAGCATTATTCATATTGTTGATCCATCAATTGCCACATTATTGCGTGAACATTTATAAAATTACTGTTTTGAAGAAAATATATTTCGATCTCTTTAAGGAGGAGTATCTAATCAACAAAAAAGTAAATTACTCATATTTGAAGCACCAGAATCGTTTATAATGAATCTCGATCCTAGGACATCTTTGGTAGAAACTGAAGTTGTTAAGATTTTATATCCAAAACGGATCGCAGATGAAACACCTGATGGCTTCAATGATGTATCTAGAATTACAAGAATTCCTATTAATGAGGCTCAAAATGCACCTTCTCAGATTGTAGTGCCATTGACTACAATACCTCAAGTTATAACAACAATAACTAAAAGAACTCGTGGATCAGATAAGCAACCACGTAAGAAGAAAGCTATAAAATTGACTAATCTTGATATTATTTCTCAAGAAATTACCACTCATCTTGTGGGACTACCAATTCATAATGATATATCTATGCATAATGTACCTTTAATTCCTATGAAAAACAATCTTGGAATTGGAAGGAATAAAAACAAGTTGAGTAAAGAATTATCTATTCTGTATTGTGCTACACATGATATTTAGAACCGGCCATCTATTATAGTAGATGAATCATTTACATATATGATTATAGAAGCCCTTTCTTGCAAAGAAGATAATTCTAAACCTCAAACCATTGAGGAAGTGATGCGTCACTCTGATTGGTCAAAATAAAAAACTGCTATTGAGGAGGAGTATGCTTCTTTGCATAAGAAAAAAGTCTTTGGTCCAATTGTAGATACTCTTACATCTTGTCTTGTGGAATATAAGATGGTATTAATACGCAAGTAAGATACTCAAGACCAAATAATCTGCTATAAAGTTCATGTTGTTGCTTAAGGATTTACTCAATGATTTGGCATTGATTATAAATCCACTTATTCTCCAGTCATGGATTCAATTACATTTTGATATATTATTGGAATGACAGTTCATGCCATCTTGAAGATTCATCTGATGAATGTACTAACTACATATCTATATGATTCTCTTAATGCAAATATTTATATGAAAGTTCCACCTGACTTAGAAATAGGAACTCCAAATCGACATGCTCTAGGATAATATCGTGGTATTAAATTATGTAATGCCTTGTATGATTTAAAACAATCCGAACGCATGAGGTATCAATATCTTTGAGATTATTTAATTACAAATAATTTTATAAGTGATCCAATAATCCCTTGTTTGTTTATCAAAGAAGATAAAACTAGTTTTGTGATCATCATTGTATATGTTGATGATCTTAACCTAGTGGACACTATATCTGAATGTGTTACAGCTACTAACCTACATATATGTGAATTTGAGATGAAAATGTTAGAAA